GAATGAGTTAAAGTTAATATAGTCTTTTTGCCAAGTGTGAAATTTGCTTCGTAATTGAAGTTCTTTAGTTGTAAGGTGGGGTGGGGTTTCTAACACCAAGTTTGGTGGAGAGGAAGAGATTATAGTATTATTATTGGAAGAAGGAATCCTGCTTGGGATTCAAATAGACTTTCGTAATTCTACAAGTATACTGTGATGAAGTTCAAGTGAGAGATTTATGGCTGATTTATAGTTGCGAATAGATGTAAACGTTTCTTCAGTTATTATTCTGACAAATATTTGGTTGTGTATATGAATTCTATAGTATGCTTGGACAAAGTTGTTAGTATTTAGGATGTTTGGATGCAATTTGGGTTAAAGTATTGGTTAGTAGTGTGGATAGATCAATTGTATTAGTAGGACAAGTAATCCAATGTGTATCCGTTTCTATTGCATTATTGCAATGTTTGCAACAAGGTGAAGAGTGTTTGAGGGTGTGGCATTTGAATAAATTGACTTGATTGGGTAGCTCATTTATCATGATTTTAAACTTGAAATTTTTGTTTGTTGATGTTTTAGAGTCTGTATAGTGTTGTCATAGTTGATCATTGAACCTTAAGTATTGAAAGGTTGGGTCTCAACAAATTTTTGAAGTTGCTTTTATTGATCTTTAAATTTTATTTAGAGTGTATCATGAGTCTATAATGGTTGCAACGTGGAGTTTTTTGATTGTTGTTTTTATGTTGTCTGAAGTTAGATTGTGATTAAATCTTTGAAAGTAGGTGTTGTGGATAAGTAGTGATGGGTCAATTTCTGTATATAGGATATGATTGTTAAGTTGTAGTATAGTGTTAATTTTAGCGTAGTAGATAGTTATTGATATGAATTTAGTGTAGATAGCTGCCCTGGTAGCAATCAGGTAGCTAGTGTTGTCATTTTTATAGATCTCATAAGATATAATAGGTGAGGTGTCTAGTAGCAGAGGGAGTATTTTGATAAGAAATGTGGAGTTCATTTTTAGGTGGATATGTAAACCGGAAGGTATAATTGTAATCAGTGTATATAATGTTGTAATAGTGATTTTTGCTAGGTTGGGCCAAGTAGTATTTTGTATAGATAATTGTGTGTTGTGATGGTCGAAAGTGAGCTTTGTAGTAAGTGATGATAGTGTTTTTCTGGTAAAAATTATAGCCATTTGTGCATGTATAGATTTGGAATTGGGAAAGGAGAGGTAAGTGTTCCAGATATGTTCTGTGTAATCATTATGCGCCTGGGCCATGTTGAAGGAGTAATGGTGGTTATGAGGTATGTAGCGAGTTGATTTAGATTTAAATTTGATAGGTGGGATAAGGTGCTAAGATTGGCTAAGTTGCCGTGCCAAATATGTTTTAAAGATACTTGGATTTGGTAAGTAGCAATTTTTGGAATTCAAAATAAACATCAAATATTCTTTGTAGTATAGTCGTAAAGGGCACATCAATTACAGAGAGTTAGACTGTTAGTTGTTTGGTTTAAGTTTTAATGTTGTGTCTTGAAGAGGTTGTTCTTGGAGAAGGTTATTCTACCAAAAGTGTAATCGAAAGTTATGATCCAGTGTGATGAAGTATTTGCTAGGTCCATGTAAAGGGATTTGAATATGTTAGGTTGAAGGTAGGGGATGCTATTTTACTGATAGTGTCTTTAATTGTATTGAACCATTTTGAAATACGACCATGTGGTATTTTTTGGATATTATGATGAAAGCTTTTCCAGTCAAGCATTGCAGTATTGTCATGATTTGTAAATTGTTCGATTGCTGTTATATTATGTTTGTTAAGCTGGTGTTTGATATGAGTGTTGTGTTTAATGTTGTGTAGAATAGAATTGATAGGTGTGCCAAGTGTATTGAGAGGAGATGGATTAGGGTTGGATGGCTGGGTAAATTGGATATTAAGTCGGTGCATATTGAGAATAAGTTGTGTGGTGAAAGTTTTGTACTCTTTGAAGGTGAATTGAGGTTAGTCAGTTAGAATAGATTTGTTAGAAGCAGCATTATTTTGTAGCTGTTATAATCAGATGAAGAATGATAGAGGAGTAATTAGAGAATTCAGCATGTTTTCAAGAATCGATATGTGGTATGCTTGTTGTAATTGGTAGGCGTTCATTAGTGCGTAAGTATAAGGATGGAATAGAAGTAGGTTAGGAGTGCGTCTAGAGATAGATACTTTGTGCTTTAAAGTAGTGGTATATCGACTTATAAGTATTGACAGCTAGAGGGATTCAAGTAGGTATTAGTAAGGTAGTAGTGTAATCTGAAAAGCAGAACTGTGTTAATGATATAGATGGCTTGTTTTTCAGTAATTTTTGTACAATTAAGTTTGATCAGTTCTGTAAAAAATTGTTTTTTGTTAATAGTATAGTCAATGAAAGTGCTAAGGAATTTAAAAGTTTGTTTTGGTAGTAAGTTGTAAATAGGTTGATTTTGGAAGATAATAGAAGAGGTGTCTGTAGTATTGTTATGAAAGAGAGTAGATTTGCTAGGGTTTATAGTTATTTTGGCCATTTGATAGAAGGAGAATGTGATACTGAATATTTGTTAAAGTGATGTTCGGTTTGATGAAATTCATGTGATGTCGTCCATATAAGCAATTACATTTGTAGTAGATGTATGGGTCTGAGTGAAGTTTGGTATGGTGGTGGAGACAGTGTAGCCTAGTGTGGATTTGGAACGGCTGATGAGAAGATCGTAGTATATGCACCAGAGTATCAGGGAAATTGTTTCACCCTAATCAATGCCGTCTTTGACATTATAGGATGGTGTTTTGCCAATAGAAGTAATGACTTGGTTTTGTCTTGTTGAGAAGATATAAACTATAAGATTTATGATATGCCGATTCTAGAGAGGGCTTTGCTTAAGAGTGGTATGTGCACGGTATCATAGGCTTTGGACATATCTTGCAATAGTATCCAAAGTTCTTTTTTGTTTATGTGTGTATCTTCGCGTAAATGAGTAATATGTTGGATCAGTTGTAAAGTAGAGATAAGTGAGAGTGCTACATTATTTGTGGGATCAAGCAGGTTGTTGTATAATAGAATTGATGCGAGTGGTTAGAATTTTAGTGAAGATTTTGTGGATATGTTTAATGAGTGTTATAGGGTGAGTCTTGGAAAGGTCTCCTGGTTGGTATCCTTTTTTCGGTATGGGCCAAACTAGACCTTTATACCATAATGAAGGAGTTGTTTGTAGATTAATACAGGTGTTGAAGATCTTAGCTAATGATATAATTGCTATATGAGGAAGTTTCTTGAGTATTTCATTTGAGATTAGTAAGAGGCCGGTTGTTTTGTTGTTGGGTGCTATAGTTATTGTTGTCTGAACTTTGTCTGCTTTAATTGGTTTTAATAGTGGTGCATATATAGTGGGGGTAACTTGAGGTAGTGTTTTATAATACTGTTCCTATTCTATCCACAGGTTGGGGTCAAACAGGTTGAGTTGAGTCTAGCGGCGGAAGTGCTGTGATGTTTCTTGTTTAATTTCCTGGGGGTTGGTGATTCTTGTAGTTGGTGTAGTAATGTTATGAAATATGACAGAGGTTGGTGCCAGTGTAAGATACTATCAATTATCTTGGTTGTGTTGCTTTGAAAGTTGGTGTAGCGATTGTTCATGAAATATTGGATTTTCTTTCTTTTTTGGGTGTTATTCTCAGTATTTCTTGCAGTGTATAAAGTTAAACAGAGCTGTTTAAGGTGTGTTTTTGTAAAGGTGTAGAAGCTGTACTCCAAGTCATTAAGTTGAAGATGTTGATTGGTAGCTTGAGTAAGTGCATTAATTTTGTTGAGAATACTATTAATAAAAGTAGTAATGTGTTGAATATGAAATGAGATGGGTCGATTAATTATATTAAAGATGTGATTAATGTGTTTTAGTACTCGGTGTAAGGAGCTAGCTTTAAAGAAGTGAGCGTAGAAGGTACAAGAACTAGTGTAGGTATATGGTATAAATTTGTCAGCTGCTTGTTTAATGATATTGTTAAGATTGTTGAAGGTTTTGTTTAGTTGGTGTGTGTTGGTAATTTGCTAGTGATGGTAAGCAGAGGCTAAAATATGGGCTGAGATAAATCCAGCGAAATCTCCCCAAAGTTTGAAATTCATATGATCATAGTTGTAAGTTTTTTGGTACTGTTTTTTGAGCCGGGGTTGTTTGACTATAGGGTATGTATGTTGTGAAGTAGTGAGTATTTGGTGATCACTATCGGTAATGTTAGTAGGGTCAAGAATAAGAGGCATAGTGAATGAAAGTATAATTTTAGGAGAAACTCATATATCATCTATTTGGCTTGACAACTGGTTCCGATTCCAGGTAGGTTCAGTGATATAGTGTAGTTGTAATAGGCTTATGAAGCCAATAGATACGAGGTGTTGGAGTAAGGGGCATTGTCTGTGGTAGTTGGTGCGGTTAGTATTACAGTTAAAGTCACCGGCAATTACGAGGTTCATGTTTTGAGAGCAACCATCATTAACCCAGAAGATAATTTGTTGTTAAGCAGTATGTAGTAATGGTGTTGAGGATGATGGTAGGTAGATTGCTATAAGGCGCATCTTATTATTTGCAGAGAAGTATAGGTCAATAAGAAGGGCGATACCAGGTATAGTGCTAATTTTATAGATGTGTAGTTGGATAGATGGTTTTAAAGCTATTGCAACACCTTTACATGATTCACAGATATTTGCGTTAGTTTGATCACAGTTTGATGTGTAAATCATATAGAGTGGGTTAGTAAATGCTATAGAGTTAGTAGATGTAGCTAATTTTGGTTCTGTCAGAAAGGCTATATCTATTTCGTTTGAATTACAGTATTCTAGTAGTAGTTGTAGTTTGAGTGACTGGTTGATCCCTTGGACATTGTGGTTAAGTATGTTAAAGGTTTGTTCGATAGGAGGGATGGGGTTGTAATGGTTAGTATGAGGTGTTGAAGAAGGTGTATGGTTAAAAAGTAAGATGTTAGTTTTCAATAGTTGATCATATATATTAGTGAATTCACTCATTAGAGATGTAATTATTAAAAAGTTCCCATTTAGGTACAGGGAGTTCAGGGATATCGATGATATGGGGAGGAACCTCTCTGAAGATAAAGTAAGTATGTAAAAATGCAATAGCAGTTTCAACTTCTTGTTGAGAAGTAGCTAGTAGGATGATTGATTCAGGTATAGATATATAATTAATTATAGCTTTGATTTCATCAAGTGTGGATAGTAGAGAGAGACGATCTGTTTCGATTGAGACTTTTTGTGGGATGTTGATCCAGTCAGCTAGGATTTGTTTGAAGTAGTAGTATTCTCTTAAGAGGCATACAGTTTTAATTAAGACTCTGGGGCTTGTAATAGGTGTAGTGATGTTGACCAGCTTTATTTCATCAGCGATCAAGAGTAGTTCTGGTTTGTTTGTAGGGTTAACTATCATGTATTGCTTGGAGAGAGGTAGAGTAAAGTGGTATTTGTTTTGAATAGCTACTAGAAACTCTTTTGCTAGCATTGGGTTATTGATAGAGAAAGAGTATTTTTTGGAGTAGCTACTTGTGTTGAATTTTGAGGAAGAGGCTGTTTCTGCACGAAAAAGTCAAAGAGAACATGTTTAAAACTATAGTGTTGGTGAAGGACCTCAACAAAGTGGCGAAATTTAGTGAAATCTTTGGGATTGCAAGGGAATAAGTGCCAAGTAGCTGAGTTTAAGTTTTGTGGTATACTAGGTAAATAGAGTTTTTGTAGTAATAGGTTGAAGTAGGGTAGTGGAATTTTTTCACCCACGATATAATATTTGGATAGTTTTTGACGGTAAAGGGCTAAATATGCGAGCTTGGATGGTTTGGTGATAGGAAATAAATTACGTATTTCGAGGTTGAGTTCAGAGGGTGGTCAGAAAGGGGTAGTAATTGGGTTTTGAAGTAGCTATTGTGCAGTTTATCGAATGTGTATATTTTGCGCAGAGCGAGAATGATCGCTCTAGTGTCGCTATAGTCAGTAATAGGTAGTTTAAATAGAAGAATCTGAATGATATTATTGGTAATACTACGTGGAGAAGAAGGTAAGGGTTTTAGAAGGGAGGTGTGAGCGGAGGTTAAAGTAGCTCTAATTTTTTCAAAATCAAGAGGCGTGGTGATTTTTGCGAAGTTTAACAGGTAGGTGATATATCTTGTAATATCATAAGGGCTTTTCAATATGAAGTCCAAGTTATATAAAAAGTCGAGTGCGAGTTTTGCCTTAAGTCTTTGGAAGAGTTGGTCCCGGTTGATTTTGTTAATATAACAAGTATCGTGGCAACGTTTGTATCTTTCAGTTGCAATTTGTAAGAGAGTTTTGAATTCTTTCTGGTGTTGAGGTTGGGTAGAAGTATTGTGAGTGAAGGATTTAAAGAAAGTGGTATCCAAGTAAACAAATTTTTCGTTAATTGCAGGTGATAAATTGTAGGAAGTGGGAATGAAAGTTATTTTGTAGACAAAGAACTCTTGAAGTTTAGTGATATTTTCGAATGCAAAAATAATGTAGTCGTTGTGCTATTTAAGTTTGTAAAATTTATTGGTACGTTGTATTGCAAGATCTTTAAGGACTGAGGTGCACTATTTGAAGTCTCGGTGGCCCGAAAATTTGTGTTGAGGTTTAGGTTTTTGGTTACCCATAAGTGCAGTGGCATAAGATTTTTTTGGTAAAGATTCAATTGTAGCATTTGAGTGGGTGTCTGTGAGTAAGTCTTGGTGTGAGTTGGTAGTAAAGTCAGGTAAAAGGGCTAGGTTGTCAGCCATTAATGGATTGGGCTCAGTTGTAAGTGTGTTCTTAGATCCGGAAAGCCCTGAAGGATCAGAAGGTTATAAATTAACTGCCAAGGTGGGTTGTTGTAGTGATCCGAATTGACTAAAATTTTTTAGTTGACTAGTTAGTTGACTAATTTCATGAATAGTCAACTAGTTATATATTATATAAAGTAATATATAAACTACAATTTATTAGTCAACCAATCAAAATGTTGGTTAACTATTAGTTTATACGTATTAGTGTTGAGTTTCTTTAAATTTCATGCGAATGGAATTTTGGCCCACATTATGAAATTTCGGCCAGCATTATAGCAGCTTACTGCTAATGCAGATCTGAATTATGCTCTGAAATATTCAAAAAACTCCAAAATATTTCATATGTATAAAACACTACATAGTCTATATATTTATTATCCTTATTTTTAGTTGATTTTTAGTTGACTAATAAAATTTAGTTGATTGGTTGATTTTAGTTGACTTAGTTAACTAAAACTTAGTCGATTCTTATCACTAGGTTGTTGTACCAAATTGGGTACAGTGTTTGTTGTGATGATTGGTGTGGGAATTTCTGCGGTTTTTCCCACGCTAGCTAGAACGGGCACAGAGGCTCCGATCAGTTTGTTGTTTTCTGGGGTATGGTGTTTTGTCCACTTTGTTGTGATTGTGTTGTAAGAGTGGTTGGGAAAGGAATAGTCAAGGAGTAGTCTATTTGAGTAACTGTATTGTTGGGGTCATTTTGACTGCTTTTTTTTGCAGGAGGGGGTTGTTAGGTGCTTGATTAGAAGAGTGTGAAAACTAGTTGAGAGTTAAAGTATGTGTATTCATAGTTAGGGTATAGTGACCGTTAAAGGTGAGAAAAGGCTCAAAGGTCTGAGGAGTGAAGAAAACACAGTCTCTTGTGTGTTTAATTTTGTTCGAAGGTTGTAATACTGTGTAGTATTAGTTTGTTCTTTGTCTCAGAGGACCCAATGTAATATTTATTTAGTGAAGTACCGAGCTTTAATAGTTTGATTACTTTTTGTTTACTCAAAATTTTGATTTTCAGGAGTGAACTGGAAAGAGTTTTTTAATTATAATAATCTAAAAACTAATATATAATAAAAAATATATATAAGATTCAAACTTCTTGAAGTTCTGAACTTTTAACTCATAATATTTATTTTACTTATACTAAAACTAATATGCTATAGAAAAAAAATATATACATATATCATAAGTAAGATTTAAACATTCATAATTTTTAGAACTTTTGATATTACTAAAAATAAATAGAAGATAAAAGAAAGTTTGGTATAATATAATTTGAACTTAATTAATAGTAAAGTTTGTATTATATAATTTGTATAGTGCCCGACAAAAGTTTTCCTGTACCTATATCTCTTTATAGAGAGGTGCTACACGACCCTGAAGAACTCTGATACAACTAATATATTATCAAAAAAGGAAATTTTGTATAGAAAATTATCAAATATTGCTTTTTTATATAGTAAATTTTTTAAATTTTGCTCTATTTTATATATCTATTTGGCCAAATTTATACAAACTTTATACAAACTTAGATCAGAGTTCTTTAGGATCCTGGTACTACGATCTTGAAATTTCAGAAATGTTAGTATATATGCAAATTAGATTGTGTATTTGTTTTGAAGATTTTATAATCTATAAAAGGATTTTTAGATAAGAGCTAAATTTAGAATGTTTTTCATTCAAAAAAATTTAAAAAAATAATTAAATTCAAGAAAATTTAATATATCATCAAGGATAAAAGCTAAAAATTCTAAAAAATTCTATATTAAAATTCAATTATTTTTGTAGTGGTAACAAAAAATTTGACTTGATTTGATGAAATAGTTATTGAGAAATTAATTCTTAAAGATTTGAGTTTTATTTTTATTACTTTAACTAGTTATAAACCTATGCAATAATGCACAGGAATAAACTTATAAAATTTTTAAATATAATTTTAAAATAAAATATATATATATAAAGAGGTGTGGCAACTTAGTGTAGTTGGTTAGTTGTCACTCTCCCAAGCAGCAGGTTTAGAGTTCGAATCCCATGGACGATGATTTTGAAAAATAGATCTGCGTACGGTTAACGGTTATCGATTATCAGTTGGATTTAATCTGTAATCTCGGTCACACCATCTAGTAATGGGAGCTTTGGCACAATAAATCCGAGAAATCGGAATAACCGAAAACCTGTTTGGCAAGTCCCGAGTTGAGATATAGCAATGATCTTTGACAGTATCACAGGAGAGCTGAATTCGAACCGAGGCTCGAGATCGGAAAACCAAGCAACCAGGTCCTATGGTGGAGAACATACTAGCCGAACCACCGGGTTGTTGCACCGGAGGAAAAGAGTATATGCTCTGAAAGTATGGACCAAGAGAAGGGTGTCTTTCAGACACCTAAAGCCTAAGCAGACCGACCCATCCGGGTTGCTAGCTGGAAGTAAGGGAGGGACCGATAGAGAATCTGGGTAAGAAGATGGTTCCAAATGCGGGTACTGGGGTTGTTGGGAACCTTACAAGGGCAAGGAGTATGTAATAGGCAACTAATTAGGAAGGTTGTGGCTTAAGATACAGATCGGGTTACGGCAGCACCTCAAAGGTTGGCTTGAGATACAAACTCAGTGACAGCAGCACAACATGTACTAGTTAGGAAGAAATTACCGAATATGCAAGTAAAAATATAGACTACTCTGTTAGGTTTACCTTATGGATAAATTAGCCATACATGGTTAGTTAGTCTTAAGACAAGAGATTAATAAATCCAAAAATGATTAGTAAGTCCTAAGGTAGGGTGCGAAATCTATAGGTGTCGCAAAAGCTACTACCGAATAGTGAGTTACACCTTGGTTAGATAGAATGTAGCTAGCGGTTGTAACCAGAGGGTTTAAATAGGTACCCCTCTAGTTGGGGTATAGGTATGGCAGATAGTGTAGAACTTTCAGGCGAACTACTTAATTAGGCACTCAAAAGGTGCACGTGTGGCTATATATACTCTCGTTGTAACTGTAATATGTTATATATCTACTTAATAAAAAGTCCCCAGGCCGTAGAGGTCACTTTAACACCAAAAAAAAAAAATTAAAATATAAAATTATACTAATAAAAAGTTATCCAAATTGTATAAACTTTTAAAATATGTGTATTTTTATATTATAAACAACTTTTCTAAGTGCCAAATATAAATTTACTTATTAGAGTTTTGGTTTTTATATATAAAAACTACTTTTATTTAATAAAAAATGACTAAAAATCAATTTTACCCCAAAATAAGCTACTTTGAAAAATTTTGTGTAATTTTTGACCAAAAAAAAATAGCTTTTTTTTAGAAAAAATACAGTAATTATCTAGATATAAGATTACAAAATATTATTTTATATTAAAATCTATTATAGATCTATTATAAATCTATGAATCTAGATCCTAAAATTGAAATCTAGTCTTTAAAAAATAAGTTCCAAGACCAAGTCCTAAAGTCCTGTGCCTAAGGATTTTACCAACTCTACTTCTAATGAAGCAATTGACACTTCTACATAAAAAATCTCTATACCAGAATTTTTATTTTCTATATATTTATAATTTCCAACTTGAAGAATATATTCAAATAATTTTTTTGCTAGTTCTTTAGGCTTAACAGGGTTTTGGTATATATTTTCTTTACTCTCTTAGTATAGTAATTTTGTAAATCTTTATTTTGATATTGGCAACATACTTTTGTAAGTTCACCAGTTTTACTAACAAAAGCAGTTTTTTCTAAATTTCTACTACATCAAATACACCCAAACAAAATTACTAGATGTCATTTTTATTTGGTAAAAAAGTTTTTTTCAATGCTTTTACTATAAATATCAGTGATATATAAATGTAACGCAAAAATTAATAGTCAAACATAACATACATACATACGTATGTAAGTCTTTATTCAAAGTCTAGGCTTCTGTAAAAAAGAAGCTACGGCTAAAATTTTTTTAACTTTTAATTAATATTTCTCAACAATTACCTATTTAAATTCAATAATTTTTTTTATTTTAATTCTACACATTCACAAAATTAAAATAAAAAATTTAATCAAATTTGGATAGATAATTATTGAGAAATCATCGTTTAAAGTCTAAGTAAAAAAATTTATTGCAATATTCTTTTTTCCTAAAAATTTTTAAATCTTTAAATGTTGGTTCTCAATAACTAGCTAGTTAAATTTAATAAAAAAAATTCAATAGATAATTGTTGAGAAATATTGATTAAAGAAAATAGTCACAGCTTCTTTTTACAGTTGAATGAAGATTACTTGGCACTTACCTAATCAAATTTGACCAAATTTTTTTTATTTTAATTCTATAATCTCATAGAATTAAATAAAAAAATTTTGATCGAATTTGATCAGGTAAATACCAAATAATCTTCATTAAAGTTTAATAAAATCCTATTACAACTAATTTTAATAGACAGTTTAATTTATTGTAAACTTTAAACAAAGATATTTCGCAACTACCTAACCGAATTCTATTTCAAAATATAGAAACAACCCAAAAAAAAAAAAAATTTCATGAAATTTTGTTTGGTGGTTGTCGAGATATCTTTGTTTAAATTTTAAAAAAATTCTACTGCGCAATTAACGGTTTCTTTAAACGAAGATATATCAACAACCACCAAACCAAATTCAATGAATCTTTTTTTATTTTGATTCTACAAATATGTAGAATAAAAACAACAAAATTTTATTGAATTTTCTTTGGTGGTTGCCAAGATATCTTTGTTAAAATTCTACTACAGCTTAAAATTTAATAGATGGTTTAATTTATTAACTAACTTTAAACGAAGATATCTCGACAACTACCAAATAATATCCAATGAAACTTTTTTTATTTTGATTCTATAAATATGCAGAATAAAAACAAAAAAATTTTCATTGAATTTGGTTTGGTAGTTGTCGAGATAACTTCATTTAAATTTAAAAAAATTCTAAGATTGATTTAATAGA